GGGAACTCCCATAAGAAAGGTCGGGGATGCTCCTTGGAAAATTTGAATTACAACACAAAAGTAGACCAATCTGGGCATGGCTAGAGCTTTATTTGACAACTACATACCTCTTACTAACCGAGTTCGAGGTCGGTACTGTAAGTTACAGACTGAGTTTTTTCCCCTTCGATTTATGGCCCAAGCGCAAAGCACGTGGGTCACAAATCGAAGGGGAAAAAACAAGGATCTGTAACTTACAGTACGAACCGAGAAGACGAGGTTAGTAAAATGTTTATTATATCTCTACTGTGTCCCTGACGGGTTCGGAAACAATTTCTATTCACGCAGACTCAGAAAGGCTTCAAATTTCTGACATACTTCGAAAGCAAAACAAGTCAGTTTAAAATTGCTTTTAAGTTGTTAGCAGGCTTTATTACACAATTTAGAGTATAGGAAAGTTTTAAACTTTCACTTGCTTATAAAAGTTAAGAACACTTGGCGATAAATACAAAACAGTTTGGCAACAAAACCAACTTTTATATTTCAGCGGGCCGTACAGAAGAGTACAGCCCGCTAAATCGACCAATCACAGCACGTGTACTAACTGGGAGATATAATAAAAGATATTACTTAAAACGGAATAGGCTTGATTTACCAGCTGCTCTTCAGGAAGAGTGCCCGTGCTGGTGGACTGGACTCAAGAGACCAGCAGAAATAGTGCTCTAAAAAACTGAAATAGGAGTGGTTTTTTTTTATTACTATTTCTTTGAGAACACTGTAAAGATTCTTTGAAAGTTAAAAACAGAGGCCTAAATACAAATACAAATACAAATTTTATTGTCAACTCCCCATGGGGGCTTTTCAAAGAAAATAATAATGATAAAGATAATTAAAAATACTCAAAGATTATCAATAAACACTTATTGAAAAACTACAGTATTTACATGTAAAATTTATGACATTAAAAACTGATTTAAAAGGAAGGCTTTCATTTTATGTTCAAAAATGATGAGAAACATTTTACTGTGTACACCCTAAATGAGACCAAAATCCTTGATTTATACCCCTACGCAAGATGACGAACATCCTTTACCTTTTCATATAGGACATCCCCCAGGAGACCATTTCCTTCTAGACACAGCAGGTACATGTAATACCATCTTGCACTGTTGTGTGGCCAAACCCTCGGGTGAGGGGGGG